ATTAGGTACCTTTAACTAACAATGAACAACAATGTCTATTGTCAAAATAATATTATACTACATCAATAAATGCTTTAAAAAAATTTCATAGTTGATGTAACTAGTCTTCAAATTGAACCTTATTGTGAGGTGTTACAGAAGGAAGACATTAGGAGGAGGACGTGACGTGTGATCAAGTATGGTGTTCCATACTCGGAATTTGTGCTCTGCATTTCACCCATCCGTGAACCGTGAACACACACCCGGAGCCAGTGGGCAGCCAAGGTTCGGTGCCTTGCTCAAGGGTCTCAGCTCAGTCGTGGTATTGAGGGTGGAGAGAGCGCTGGTTATTCACAATAATAGGGGAATGGCAAAAAAAATATTTCTATTAACATGAACTTGTTTGATCTTGTATGATAATCAACTTCTGTTGTGTGTTGGGCCACCATTAAAATTTAAATCCTGAAGCATCAACCGCTAAGAGGAGACAGGGATTTTCGCTTCTCTTAACCAGGATTCAGGTGGTTTAGTTGCCAGTGATACAATTAATTAATTCACTTACAAAGAAACACCAACTAAAAAACTTTGCGTGCAAGAATAAGAGGAAACCCACAATAATTCTGAGTTTATCAGAATCACAAAAACAGAGCTCATATTATTTAACATCTTCTTGCAGACCGGTAAATAACCCTGAGAGACTGTAAATGTCACTTTCTGGTGAATATACAAGCTTTGCGAACCACACTAGAGAAATTACACACGTTCATGCCTGTGCACCATTTTCCCTCCATTCCCCCTGGGCTAGCACGAGTCTACAACACACAGAATGCAGATATCACCAGACCACATAAATAAACACTCACAGTGTTAGCAGAGCTGTGAAGCATCTGTCATTTGAATCAGATGGATGTAGTGCATCCTATATGCAATATTAGAACAATATAGAGAGCGACAGGAAATCAAATATTCACACTGCCAATGTTTGTGTGATTTGAGCAAAACTCATTTTTTATATTTCACACAAATATATGTTTATTAGAAGAGCAGATATACTTAGGTAGGCTAGGTAAGGCTGCGGTAGGTAAACAAATCATACATGCAAACACTACATTCAGGATTCCCGCACTTTATGACCAATGCATTTCTATTATCCATGTTTGTTCATAAAATTCATTTTCACAAAAATTCACACTGCACTCACAAATAGTAATTTATAACCAAATAAATACTTTAGAAATGACCGTATCTAGAAAAATGTCCATGACCTTTTAAGATTTTATTAATTTTCAGGACTTCACCAGGCCTGGAAATCACACTCTAACCCAAAAATACAACTATTGGTATTCTTAGACATAAAATATTAAGGCAAGATGCTTCAGGCAAAACCTTTTTTTTTTTTTTTTTTTTCATGCACTGGTCTATTATGAGGTTTTGGGCTCTTTTGTTTCCATAACACATGGTGAAAATAAAACATCCTAAATGCACATTAAGTGTTTCTTTTATGACACTTTATCTATTTGTGCCTGTAGATTTCAATTACAATACATATCTGTAAAGGCTGTTGTCTCAAACTAATTTTTTTTCTCATGCACTAAGCCAGAAATCTCCATTTCAATAGCACTAACGTACACCAGACATGACAGTTTTATTCCTATCTATATTCTGAACGTTTTTACAGAGAGGTTTGTTCACAAATCAGTTGCCTGATTTATATAACATTTTATTCGTAAAGACATGGTGAAAATGTATTTATTTAGACTGTATTGAGTGAATCAAAGACATATATTTGTACTATGTCAACAAAATGCTGGTTTGAGCTGGTTTGAGCTGGTCCTTTGCTGGTTTAAGCTGGTCCTTTGCTGGTTTATGCTGGTCATGTGCTGGTCGGACCAGTTTAGGACCAGCACATGACCAGCTAAGGACCAGCATAAACCAGCAAAGGACCAGCATAAACCAGCTCAAACCAGCATCCCAGCTTCAAAACATACCTAAGCAGCATATGCTGTTTTCTTTCAACAGGGCAATGCATGGTGATATCTATTAGTTATAATTTTTACCCTGTTCACCTGTGAAGATAAGGAACCTTTGGTAGCCTTACATTCTTTTAAAGCGGTCTTCTTTGCGAAGACATTCATCAGGTTTTAGTATTCCTCTAAAGGATAAATGGATGAAAAACTATAGGACAAAATGAATGATTTTTTTTTTGTCCCTGTGAGAATAGCAAAACTTACTCTTGACTAATACACACACGCATACTTCAGGTTATAAATATTCAGGGTTGTACCAGAACTCATAACTTAAAATGCCAGTACTGTTGGTATCAGTACGTACAGTAACAGAACAGTGTGTTATGTTGAGGTGCTAATAACAGCGTTTCGCTCACCTTTGGCGCGATGGTCTTCTTCTTTAGGACACTTTCCACCCTCCCACCATCGACGCTTTAGGATTTCCAATCTGTTGTTCTCTTGCAGCTGCAGTACGCCTAACGTGATCTCATCTCTGAACGGTGAACCTGCAAGAGAGTGAATGAAATTAGTTTAGCTGGTTAGCCAACTGGACTCCCAGGGTTACCAGCTGATGATTGTACAAAACCAATCTAAAACCTTGGCAAGGCTGGGAAACTAGCTAACTACCTTAAGATTAGAGTTACAAAAGTTCAGACAGGCTAAGGCTAGCAATGCTATGTTAAGATTAGCAATGCTACACACAAAGTAAACAGTTTTTGGCCTTTTGGACACCTTTAGTGACAGGAACATTTATAAGACATGACCCAGACCAGCGTTGCCCTCATTAGCACTCTGGTTTAACGTGTCAGAATGTCAGAACACATACGCTAACTGCTAAGACATGACTGAGTATGTCTTAGTAAGTCAACTGATGTTGTGCAAATGAGTTAAATTAGCCAGTGTGTCAGAATGAAAATGAATGTTATGATCGGTTAATTCCAAATTATTTGACTTGCTAGAATAACATCACCCTTCATTAAACATTACTGTATCACGACTAATCATGTCACGCTAATAACGACATGACGTGAAAGGATGTGTTCATCAAATTAAAAAAATGCTAATTCAAATTAAACACTGCAGATATGCACTGGAATGGATCAGCTGTCACTGAATGTTAGTTTCTTTTTCATTCAAAGGCTGTGAAAGTGAAGTACTTTGCAGGTGCATGTTTTTGCACCTCAGTATAATAAGCACAAAACATTTATTTTATGTGTCAATATCACTTACATCAACCCCTGTGTTTAAAGTTGCAATTCTCTCATGCCATGTAAGCTAAGAAATATGCAAGCTTTCAAAAACATCTTCAACCTCATCAGAGAAAACCTGCCTGTGGTGTTGCTTCATGCATGTTTTGCGCTACTTTCAGTGAAATGTCCAGTGATTGGTGCAGAAAACATGTTCAGTTTTATCTGAAATGCCATTTTAGCTTCAACAAGTCTTTGAGCTGTTTTATTGTGACTCATGTTTCACAGGACTCGTATCTGAGCGCTTTACATCCCTGTACCAGGTGAGCTACCGAGCAAGTTTACATCAAAAAAGCCATATGGAGCTAATTATGTGATGCAAACATCAAAATGTATTGGTTTACAAATGCACTATGGTAAACGTTTTTTGAAATCACAACATAGAATTGCGCAAGGTCTTTTAAATTGATAATCTGCCCCAGTAATAATAATTTTTATATATATCAAAAAAAAAATTGTGTTTTTTTTCTGGAAACTGCAGTTAATTATGTATAGTTTTTTTTTTTTGGTAGGTAGAGGCACATTTTTCCAATTAACCTATATTATTTCTAAAATTATTATTTTTATATTTTATAAAATTCTTTGCAAATACCTATATTTGATAAGAATAAATCTGGTATTTAAAACGGCACGGTTTTGAAAGGTCACCAACTGGATATTGCATTGCTCGGTTGTAATTACATTCTAAGCTTGTTATCTCAGGTTATAATGAATTTCTTTCACCTTCCAGCACTGAAATGTTTTGAGAAGTTTACATATTTGTCATTTTATTTGAAAATGACCCGACTGAACCTCACTATTTATGCTGACTATTCACCACAAAAGCACATGCAGTACATTAAACATGAAAAGGTATTCAGAAACAATTTTACTACTGTAATGTGATGTACTTTATGACTGAAACAGACTATTTATAGAAGTACATATACTGATGAATAGTGCAATTTCATAACATTAGTTAATGCATTAGGTACCTTTAACTAACAATGAACAACAATGTCTATTGTCAAAATAATATTATACTACATCAATAAATGCTTTAAAAAAATTTCATAGTTGATGTAACTAGTCTTCAAATTGAACCTTATTGTGAGGTGTTACAGAAGGAAGACATTAGGAGGAGGACGTGACGTGTGATCAAGTATGGTGTTCCATACTCGGAATTTGTGCTCTGCATTTCACCCATCCGTGAACCGTGAACACACACCCGGAGCCAGTGGGCAGCCAAGGTTCGGTGCCTTGCTCAAGGGTCTCAGCTCAGTCGTGGTATTGAGGGTGGAGAGAGCGCTGGTTATTCACTCCCCCCACCGACAATTCCTGCCGGACCTGAGACTCGAACCCGCAGCCTTTGAGTTACAGGTCCGACTCTCTAACCATTAGGCCACGACTGCCCTAAAGACCACCCTAAGTCATTAGTATGGGTGTGAACAACTAGTCGCTTGAAAGGTCAATTTTGATTTCATGTTTTACAGTCTAACCCAGTCTAAAGACTATGTGGTGACACCATCTGCACTCCAGGTTGCTATGGAAGTGGATGTGGGGTGTCCATGGTGACCAGCCTCTTCATGAATGAGTGGATGAGAGGATTTTATCACTTGGCACCAGAACTCTGGAAGGCGACCTGAAGAGATGAGTTAGAACCGGGAGGAGGGAATGAATGTTTGAGCTCCTGGAAGACATTCTATGACCTGGAGATAGTCTTTGAAGACGGATGCTGCTCCTGGGTTCTCATTTCAAATCTATTTACGGGATCATGCGATTATGAGCGTATGGTGATGTTTTGGAGGGCAGTTTAGCCTAGTGGTCATGAGGTTGTTGGACTGATCTTCCTGGAGGACAGAAGATCAAAAACAGCAAGCAGCACTGTTAATTTTCTCACTGCATCTATTAATCTACTGTAGGTACAAATTCCCCACTGATGTTTGTGAGTAAGCATCCCAGTTTCATATGTCCTGTCTTTTACTCATACTCCCATAATTTTATCTGCTAAAATAATTTCTTTTTCAAGGTACCAAAAACCAAAGGTTTTTATTATTCTTCATGCATCATGGGAGTCAGTGGCAGCCCTTATAACTGTATTGGCACACTGATCGGTCAAGTTCTTAAAGGGACAGTGCACCCAAAAATGAAAATTCTGTCATTATTTACTCTCCCTCAAATTGTCCTGAACTGTACGAGTTTTTTTCCTCTGCTCAACACAAAAGAAGATATTTTGAAGAATGTTGTTAACCAAATAGTTGACGGTAGCCATTGACTTCCATAGTAATTTTTCCATACTATAGAATTCAATATACTATAGAAGTCAATGGCTACTGTCAACTGTTTGGTTAACATAATTTTTCAAAATACCTTCTTGTGTTCAACAGCTGATAGAAATTCATATATTTTCGGAACAAATTAAAAAATGAGTAGATGACAGAATTTTCATTTTTCATGAACTATCCCTTTAATACTACTAATACCCACTAGTGAGTATTAAATCTGCCTCCCAACACCTTTAACGCCACCAACAGTTTTTACTAAATATCTTTGGATTGAATGGTTTGGAAATCAGTGTTGTAATTGTTAACTAAAAGTCAAAAAATTTGAATCTGTTTTAGTTGACTGAAATGAAGCTGAAATAAAACAATATAAATATTAGATAAAAAACTTAAACTTAACTTTAAAAAAACTCAAAAATTAAATGAAAGTTTAGAAATGTTGCCTTTACAACCAGCTGAAATAAGTTCAAATTACTAAAACTGAAATAAATATAAATGAAAATGAATAAGAAATATAAATAAAAACTAAAATATAAAAATTAAAGTTAATTTAAAATACCATGAAAGTATATAAATAACTAAATAACTAAAATAACAGTGTTGGACATGTAATTCTCATATATTTTATTGCTAGCAGTGTTTTCAATTTCTGTCCAATTAGATTTCCACTATTTCTAATCCTCCTACAGGTTTCATCAGATTTCATCAGAAAACCCACAGACCATGTCAGAAAAGAGCTATTAAAAGGTTTCTGATATACTACACTGTTCAAGTGTAACACGTCAAAGACATGAAACAATTCTTTACAAATCTTAGAGACATGAATCTTGATATGTATTGCTGCCAAGAGCAAAAAGAGCATTTGGTGACAGCTCCACCTTCTACTCAAAGCTTCATAAAAATACAACTTTTATCATTTTATTTAATATTATTTCATGAGTTAAAATAGTATCTTAATAGTATTTCACTGTCATGAGTTAAAATGTATTAACGGCAGAAAATCTACTCTACTGATGATAGATTTAATTCTTTGTAATCTTCTAGTAATAGTTTTAATTAAAATCCAGAACATTCATTTTAAGCTCTTGTGTCTGTTCTTACAAATGCCAAAAGTAGCTGGTAGGGATCCAATACAGGACAAAAACAATACAATTGCTTAGTATTTTCAGTGTTTTGATTAACTGACAACAGTAGAAGTAAAGGCATTTTGCATTTCAGAAATTTGCTGATTAACTTCAAATGAACGCAGAAAAATATAACAGAACTATTAGCTTGCTTAGACGTCTTTGGGAATTGGAGCAGTAGGCCTACTGTGCGAAATCACCACATGACGCCAATAACACTTTTACGGCCTATTTCACTTTCACAGCTGGATGTAAGCTTCTTAAATTCTGACTTGACAAGCCCCTTTGCACTCAAGTCCAGAAAGCCCTTCTACATTATTCCAGCGCATACAGTGGCTCAATAGTGGATTAAGACCCCACGTTTTCTCTTTTCCAGCCTTCCTCATTGTCCACTAGTGAGTATTAAAGCCCTCAACCCACTAGTGAGTATTAAAGCCCTCAATGCAAAACACATATGCCATAAATTGTTTCTTTTCCCTCCCTCATATCACTGTCTGTCACGGAGTACTTGCTGAAAATGCCAAATGTCAAAGACAAAGTCAGAATTGTTATTTATCTTGCTTAGTATTTTCAGTGTTTTGATTAACTGACAACAGTAGAAGTAAAGGCATTTTGCATTTCAGAAATTTGCTGATTAACTTCAAATGAACGCAGAAAAATATAACAGAACTATTAGCTTGCTTAGACGTCTTTGGGAATTGGAGCAGTAGGCCTACTGTGCGAAATCACCACATGACGCCAATAACACTTTTACGGCCTATTTCACTTTCACAGCTGGATGTAAGCTTCTTAAATTCTGACTTGACAAGCCCCTTTGCACTCAAGTCCAGAAAGCCCTTCTACATTATTCCAGCGCATACAATGGCTCAATAGTGGATTAAGACCCCACGTTTTCTCTTTTCCAGCCTTCCTCATTGTCCACTAGTGAGTATTAAAGCCCTCAACCCACTAGTGAGTATTAAAGCCCTCAATGCAAAACACATATGCCATAAATTGTTTCTTTTCCCTCCCTCATATCTCTGTCTGTCACGGAGTACTTGCTGAAAATGCCAAATGTCAAAGACAAAGTCAGAATTGCTATTTATCAAGCCTTGTGGAAAGTGGCAAGCCATCGATCCAGGAGAAAAATTAGAAAGAAATGTGCAATACTAGAGCATGAAGAGATGCTATCATTGTGACAGAGGCTTTCTTTGTCTGTGTGATGTTCTCTGGGCAATCATCCTATTTATTTCTGGCAGAACTAAAACACTATTTTTGATTTTACTTTTGGACTTTTTATGCAGAGGCATAATGGAGAGAGAACGAAAAATATTGGGGAGAAAAAGAGGGAGCGACTTCAGAAAATGCCACAAACCACACTCAAACTGGTACCATCCACTTGAGCACCACGGCTCAACATATCAGAGTATGTGAGATAACAGCTACGCCACATCTCAGACTCAACTAAAACACAGAAAGTTGATGTTTTGCCTAATATATAAACAAATGTTGGAATGTATTTAGAGTTATATACTTATATTAGGCATATTTATTGCCAAAAAATAAATACAGTACATAAATAAAATGTTTGACTGTTTGGTTAATTAATATAAATACTGTAAATTTAAAGTGCATAATTTCTGTGCCACTAGTAGTAATTTTTCTACTTTAGTTGTCTCTGCACATTACACTTGTAAAAGAGAAAATGTTTTGGCATTAACGGTGCTGTATGTGATTTTTTTTGACTGTACTAAAGTATAAAAATACCATAATACATTTGCAGATATTTAGGAAACATCTTAAGTTCACCGGGGGAAAAAAAACAATTCTACAGCCAGTTATTCTACTTTGAAGTGTGTGTTCCGTGTCAGAATGTCTGTTTTTTTTTTTATCTGTGTGATTCTGCCCACTGCCAGTTTAACCAATATTATTTCGACACCCTAGGTTTCCAGATGACGGAAAACACAGCGTATTGCAGCCATGGAAACCAGCAAAACAATATGGATCAATGACTGCAGATTGTATCCGACCTAAAAAGCTTCGGCAACCATCGGAAAAGCTACAGTTGATAAATCAACTGATCAGCGTAAGGCTTGTTGCCTAACATTGTCAGTTATGCTCATTCCTTGTGGTATCTGGCAACCCACGTGAGAATCGAGTCTGAGGAGGAGGTGGCAGAAGAAATAATGCTGTCCCAATATTTAGAATTTTGACTGGAGTACTCAATCACTAGCTGTCAATATTACATACTGCATCTTTAAACTGGAATACGTCTGGATGTCAGTGGGTCATGGTTTGGATGGTTAGCATGAACCAGTAGACCTTACTCGGGTTAGATGCCAAAATGAATTTAACAAGGATGAAAACGAGGATGTGACTGAGTCCATTGAACACATATATCTCTCACATCCTTGTTTTCATGTCAAAAATTAAATATGGTGCTACCCTGAATAAGTTTGATTAACTCCTTAAAAAAAGCTCTTTATTAGGGCCTTTCGCACCGCTTTAGTTCCAGAACTAAATGGACAGTACTAAAGTACTGGGACGATTTTGCGCGAACTATTTCCCAGTTACCAGTTGTGCTGGTTAGACCCTGCTCCGGAGTAGGAGCTAATTTGGTTCTCGAAAAAGGCAGTCCGGTACTAAAATTGCACCCAGTTCCGGCGGTGCGAAAACGCCAAAAAGTGGGTAGCTCCACAATTAGTTCTGGTACTATGAAAAGGTTCCCGTGGTGCGAAAGGCCCTTTTGTCTCTATGTCTCTTTATTCACGCCTATTCCGAAGTCGCAATGAAAGTCTACAGGCAATTTTTCTGAGATAAAGTTCAAAATAAGAAATAAAAAGATTTAAGAGTCAAAATTATTAGTCACATTTTGAGACTTTTGGATGAATAGGAATGATAATGGCTAGCTTTTTCCAGATACTGCATTAAAGACCTCAATGCTGGACACTCAAAAAAGTATTTCTACTTATATAAGAAGGTTAAAATCAGACTTTGATTTCTCTTAAACCTTTATATCCCACCTGAAACCTTTCTCTCTCTTTCTCTTTATTTCTCTAGGTCTTTCTTTTCTGCCCTACTCACCCAGAGGCATGCCGATGCCGTAGCCCTTGGTGTCCAGCAGGCCTCCAATCTGCGTGAGGTTGCAGTTGAGGCGTCGGTGGTACTCGTTCATGGTGCTTTCCAGAAGAAAGGCGTACTTGGAGTTTAAAACCCGAGCTATGCCCTCCTCCGTGCTCTTCACGAACACGCTGGGCTGCTTGGAGTACATGTAATTCCACATGCGCTGGTACGTCTGGTAGCGCGAGTTCTGCGAGAGGCGATGAAAGTCATCGGAAAAGATGGAGAGAGAAAAGAAAGGTGAAACAGATATAGTATTGGAAGGTGGAGAAAAATCAAAGATGAAATTATATTAGTGGTGACATGAGGACAGGTCAATGAATAAAGAGGCATTTTATTGGCAGACATTGAGAGTGAACTAGATTAAGGTAACAGATTGAAAGAAAGCGAAAATGTACGGGAACGAAAGATGGATAATACATTATTAATGTAATGGGGAAGTAAACTTGGCCTCCAGTGTGAATATGGATGTAGCTGTGAGTCACTAGGCCAACTGCTTACTGCCGCAAACAGGACATGATGCATTATGACATGAGTCAAAGCACATGCACAGACTAGTTGATTAGTTTTACCACTAATTAAAGGGACTGTTTCGACTATTTGTGTATCACATGACTTTATCTGCACTTGTTTAAGATGTGGTGACAGCATTTTGGTTTGTCTTTGGTTTTTCAGCCTGTATTTTAATTTATTATTTACATCAGGTAAACACTGACCCACATACTAGTCAACTACTTTTCTGGGTAACTAGTCAAAATGACTAGTTGAGAAAACTGTATTGGGAATGGATGCATCTATGAGCAGATCCGGAAGAAACACATTGATTTTGGGGGGGAAATCTTTGGAATTGATATAAACTGAGCAACACTGAAAGTATTATAAAATTAGTGAAATTTAATTAATTAAATATTACTTTTATTAATTTTTATAAGTATTCATTTTTTTTATTATTTAGTATTAGTAACAAATTAGTAATATTTAAACTACCGTTTAAACGTTTGTGGTATGAATATGAAATGACATTTTTTTTTTCAGCATAGATGCATTAAATCAATCAAAAGTGACCGTAAAGACATTTATAATGTTGCAAAAATGTCTATTTCAAATAAAATGTCAAATAGAATGCGGAAAAAAAAAATGATCACAGCTTACATTGGGAAGCAACTGGTTAAAGTTGAACATTTAAGTTATAACATTAAAGGGATAGTTCACCCAAAAATGAAAATTCTGTCATTAATTACTCACCCTCATGTCGTTCCAAACCTGTAAGACCTTCGTTTATCTTCAGAACACAAATTAAGATATTTTTGATGGAATCTGAGAGCTCTCTAACCCTCCATAGACAGCAAGGGTACTGCCACGATCAAGGCACAGAAATGTAGTAAGGACATCGTTAAAATAATCCATGTGACATCAGTGGTTCAACCATAATTTTATGAAGCTACGGGAATACATTGCAAAGAAAACAAAAATAATGAATTTATTCAACAATTCTTCTCCTCCGCGTCACCCTAGCGCCATGGAGATTATAACGATGCATGTGTGTGGTGCTGCTGATGTAGAACACATATGCGCTGCGCCTTGTTTACGTGCAGAGGAAAGCACGCACATGCGTCATAATACTCTCCATAATGACGCTAGGGTGGAGAAGAATGGTTGAATAAAGTCAAGTTTTCTTTGCGCACACCAAGTATTCTTGTAGCTTCGTAAAATTACAGTCAAACCACTGATGTCACATGTACCATTTTAACGATGTCCTTACTACATTTCGGTGCCTTGTTCATGGTAGTTACCTTGCTGTCTATGGGAGGGTCAGAGAGCTCTCGGATTTCATCAAAAATATCTTAATTTGTGTTTCGAAGATGAACGGATGTCTTACGGGTTTGGAAGGACATGAGGGTGAGTAATTAATGACAGAATTTTCATTTTTGGGTGAACTATCCTTTTAATAACAATCAGAAATGTTTCTAAAACAGAAAATCAGCATATTAAAATAATTTCTCAAGGACACTAAAGACTGGAATAAATGCTGCTTTGCCATCAGAGTCAATTCCATTTTAAAACATATTAAAATAGAAAACAGTTATGTTTTTATAATATATGTGTTATGTTATACAGTATAACAGTTTAATGTTTCAAAATTGTAGTTTTTTACTGTACTTTTATAAATATTTTTATCAAATAAACGCAGCCTTCGTGAGCATATGAGACTTCTTTCAAAAACATAAAATCTTACAGAATGTTTCAAATGGTAGTGTATGAATACTGTCAGTATTATTAGTACAAAAGTTAATATTAACATCACTGAATATCCATATATGCAAGGGGTGTAGAATTTTGTGACTGAACGATGTTTCAATTCTGCGGAAATCTAAAGCTTTCTGTGAAATTTAGCTGGCACAGATTCTGTGTGGGCTTGAATATGAGTCACTAGCCCAACTGCCGCTATAAACAGGAAGTGACGCATTATGACATCACATGTGCACACATGGTAGGCCGGTGAAACAAATCTCACACACGCACAATTTCACACAAACAAGGACATACGTACCATGAAGAAGGTCATAGTACTTCCTCCTTGAATAGTCCCATACTGGATGTTCGTCTGATCGGCCAAGTCGTCAGCAGATTCGATTGGCACCTCCATCCTCTGGACTGTCAGGAAAGCGGCAAGGTTCGCCGTGTAGGAGGAAATGATGATCAGCGTGAATGCCCACCTGTTTCAGACACACAGAAACACATTGTTTTTTTCCCATCAGAAATATGTGTGTGTCCATTAGAGACAGATGTTTACATTAGACACATCTGTGTGCAGATTTGCTGACTCATTCATTCAATGAAATATTGAAAGACACCCACAGCTGCAATGTCGACCAGATCAACCTAGTAATTTTTAGTAATTTATGTGCTTTTATTTATAGTATATAGAAAAAAATATACGTATTTTTATATATTTATAAATACATTTTTTCAGGTAGTTTAATTAAAACATTTCTAACTTTCTAAATCTAAAGTTAAAGTTGTTCTGATCACAACAACCTCAGAAACATGCACCTTGTTGCTAAAATCGGCTCAAAATATCAAACATGTTTGATATCCTCCGACTCAAGGGAATCAAATTCTGAAGCTAAAAATCGGAGTCTATGACCATCATACACTCTCATACGCATACATGACAGATGTTTACATTAGACACATCTGTGTGCAGATTTGCTGACTCATTCATTCAATGAAATATTGAAAGACACCCACAGCTGCAATGTCGACCAGATCAACCTGCTATGAAAATTAATCGATAAATAGTGTTTGCAAACTCTGTGGAATTACCTGCAATGTGAATGAATTAATAAGGCACGATGGCACATTAAAAATCAAACCCATAATTTAACACATTAACCATTTATGTCAGATGTTCCAACCAATGGTATCTGCAAAAACGAAGTCATTCCATGTTTAAGCTGGTAAACTGTGTTCTGAGACAATGTTACAATGTGTGTGTGTGTGTGTTTGTGTATATATATATATATATATATATATATATATATATATATATATATATATATATATATAGACAGACAGACAGACAGACAGATTTTATTGTCAGATGTTTTAGAAAAAAAGTCTCATATGCGCACCAAGACTGCATTCATGCATTTATTTGACCAAAAATACAGCAAAAACAGTACTACTGTGAAATATTATTACAATTTAAAATAACTCTTTTAAAATTCAATTTTTTTCCCAATATAATTTATTCCTGTGATGCAAAGCTGAATTTCAAAACATCATTACTCCAGTCTTCAGTGTCACATGATCCTTCAGAAAAGTCTTTACTGTCACTTTAATGTATACTTGCTGCATAAAAGCACTGATTTCTTTAGAAAGAAGAATTTCCTGAGAAAAAGAATGCATTCTTTGCAGTTGCTGATTTATGTTGTCTAAGGCGTTTCCAGGAGGAAGTTGGAGAGCCCTTCCCAACACAATCACGGAGCTCTTCACCGCAGTGAATCATGGCCAGATGAAAGGAAACTCCTGAAGTCCTCAGAGAAAGAGCTTTCATGAGACCGGTGAAGCATTTAAAACTTTTCTAAAGTGACTGGCCTCCAAAACTACACAAACAGCCAGATTAGTTGTTTGTCATTAAATAAAAGCTCTTTATCAAACATTAAAGTACACCAATTGCAGACACACGTCCCCCAGTGCATCACGGAGTCAGAGCCGTGCTCAGGGACGCAGCAGAGATAGACGCCAGCTCTCCGTTTTCTGGGTCACCCCTGTGTGGGATTAAAGTCGTATCTATTCTGTTTATTCACACCACAGATGATTAAACATTCGGCTTCCACTGCATGCACAGATCGAATCATTTCAACTCCATTGTTACTCTTCCTAAAAGTGATTGTTCAACTTAAATGACCTCAACAGCACGGCGCAGGATAGAAATTGAAGAGATGGAACAGAAGACAGCTTGACTTGATAGCAGAAAGAGCAAAATGAACTGAGCGACATGATTCGAGGTGGGAGACTAATCTAGAAATACACTACAAAAGAGTGAATGTACGTCGGCGCACAAAACAAACATGCTCAAACAAACTTCAGTGAGACAAGACACACTCTTAATGGTCTCTTTAGACAGAGAACAGATTTTCAGTCCATGTTAAATTCAAATAATGCATCACCATGTGTGAAAATCTGCCCTGCAGAACATTATCTCACAAATAGGTCATTTTTTGGTTGCTTGGCCAAAAAATAAATAGAAACACCTACCAACAAATATTCAGACTCAGTTTTCAGTATTCAGTTAGAGGCACTTGATATGAAATCTTGAAATGCATTTAACACCAAAAAGCAGTCAATTACATATAGAAATATTTATACAAATAAAATTAATTTACATTTAAATTTTTTATGTTAATAAAATTTAAAAATAAAAGACATTTCTGATCTTTTAACTGTCTTTCTGCTGTCACGCCTCATTTTCATCATGACAAAATATAGACTTTTTTTTTTGAAAAACTCAATTGTTCTCACAATGTTTTGTGTAATGGTAATATTGCTGATAGTGATTCTATGAATTTGAAAAAAAAAATACAAATGACACAAAATTAACAAAAATATGTTTTTGGTTATTTGGCAAAAGTGCAGTACAATTAAGTATAATTTTCATCATTTTTGAACACTTTTAATGCATTTATTACAAAACAAGAAGTTACAAAGTCTGGGTTGAGACAAAAGCACAAAACCGAGAAATTCTGGAAAATCTAACCATTTAAGAATCATATTCTAACACTAGAAAAAGCTATTAAAAAGAAAAATAAAAAATATAATGCTATTATAACCTTCCTTTAAAATCCTGTAAAATAAGTATTGCCTATTAAAAATCAGTATACCTTTTAGTAATTTTTAGTAATTTATGTGCTTTTATTTATAGTATATAGAAAAAAATATACGTATTTTTATATATTTATAAATACATTTTTTCAGGTAGTTTAATTAAAACATTTCTAACTTTCTAAATCTAAAGTTAAAGTTGTTCTGATCACAACAACCTCAGAAACGTGCACCTTGTTGCTAAAATTCGCTCAAAATATCAAACATGTTTGATATCCTCCGACTCAAGGGAATCAAATTCTGAAGCTAAAAATCGCTTGACCATCATACACTCTCATACGCATACATTTTCTATGAAATCTGTCAGATCAAATCTGCAGACTGGCTCTGACTTTCAGCAACTAGCGTCAACTTCTCCAGGCTGTAAAAATCTTGTAGCATATTCCAGTCTTTAGTTTACAGCAACGCTGTCACCCATATAAGCTTTTGGATCATGTGTGCAGAGCCAGCTGGTGTCGATCCTGATATTGCACTCAGTGTGAAGAAGTGTCTTTAATACTCACAGATACACACACACTTACTGCATGGTCTCTTACACCTCAAAGGAAGTGCGAAACATCGCCACACTCACCAAACGCCGCTGACACAGCGTGTGGACAGAGCCCGGGGCATGATCTCTGAGCCCTGCTGCATGAAACCACCGACCGGAAACCACAGGCTGTTCCCCAGCGTGTACTGATTCTCCAGCAGGTCCCTGCAGTCCCGCCAACACGGGAAGGGGTTATACCACTCATACGGACTCAGCCTGATGGAAGGAGGGAGGGAGGGAAAGAAAAAAAGAAAGAAGCTGTTACCTCAAGAAGAACACTGGACTGTGAATATAATGATAGTCAAAATAGATGTGTGTGTATTGAGTGACAGTGTGGTACCTGGCAGCCAGGAAGAGCACACAGCTAACGGCCAGATAGGCTAAAAGCATGAATAGCCAGACAGCTGGCGAAAAGGGATCCAAGAAGGAGAAATAACCTGGCTTCCTGCCCTGTAGAGAGCACATAACAATACAAACAATGCTCTTACCACTCCTACAGCCAGAGACTCTCCAAACAGTTGAAAGCTTTTGCCTGATACAATCGCTGTTTGTTGTTGTTCTGCTTAGTGCATCCTTTCATATGAAGAGATTGGGTAAAAGTTTGTTTTTGATACGTACAAAACATTATGCACAATTTTTCATTTGTGCATTTATGCATTATGCATCAGGCAGGTGCTTTTATCCAAAGCGACAATGCATTCAAGGTGTACATTTGATCAATTCAGGCATTCTCAGAGAACTGATGCCGTTACTCTCACCATGTTTTACTTTTTGAGCTACAGGAATGCAAGATTTTCATGCAAGAAGAGAGGAAAAAAATAAATAATTCAACCAAACAAATTCTTCACTAAGCACCGCCCCTTGGTTACTGTTACTAACCCAGGTAAGCAGTTCAGAACATCCCATAATATATTCAGTATATTTTTAAATGTTACTGTGGTCATAAAGTGGTAAAAATTGACTGGACATTTTTCTTATGCGGTTGGCAGTTTTATTTGCCTTTTTTCTTTAAAAGAATTGTTAAATTATGCAGTAACGATTAAAAATAGACACTGTAAATAATAATTGAGAGAAAATGTTTAATAATAACAATAATGGTGATACTAATTATTATGAAATAAGTAAGCATTAATATTAGTAACGACAACAATTACAATTTTTAAATTAAAAATGTAAAATAAAATAAAAATGTTGCTGTAATGAATGAGTATTATCATAAATGTTCTTGATTCGTGAGGTTTTGTGAGGAAACAAGTAAACACTAATAATAATAATAATAATTATAAAATATTTCAGCAATATTAAACATTAACAATAATAAATATTTATAATTATTCTTATTACTATAACAATTATTATTAGTGCTGTCAAACGATTAATCGCATGCAAAATAAACGTTTTTGTTTACATAATATATGTGCACTGTGTATATTTATTATGTATATATAAACACACACA